GCCTCGTGGTGCAGCCCCCCGCCTGCCCGTCGCTGCAATGCCTGGGCGCCGCGGGGGGGGCGTTCGCGACTTCGTGCCCGCCATCGCGAGTACGTCATAGTTTCTGGCCTCGCCCCGGATTTCAGAAAGCCCATCCCCCGTCGCCCACATGGGGTTGTAGCCGAAGGCGCGAAGCGAAAGCTCGGACAAAAACCCCAACCAGCAAAGGACTCTCACGGCCACGGGGTGGGCAAAACCTTAGTAGACACACGCCGAAGGTGCGGCGTTTCTGCCGGGCAAACCCGGATCCGCGTCACCGGGCCCCCGTGGGCTTATGAGGAGGAGGAGGGGGGGGAGGAGGAGGAGGAGGAGGAGGAGGAGGGGGAGCAGGAGGAGGAGGACAATGAGGAGGAAGACGAGGAGGAGGAGGAGAAGGCGGAGGAGGAGGAAGAGGAGGAGGAGGGTGGTGGTGGTGGACACCGCCCTGGAAGGTCGGGAAGCGAACGCATCAAAAGCGGTGGGGGGGATCGATCCGAGATAAACCGCCCCAGAGATTCTTGCTTATTCTCTAGCTATGATTCTGGCGACCAGGGACGCCATTCTCTGCTCATGAGCGGGGGCCGTGGGGGCATCCGAAAGTGCTCGCGGAACGGGGGGGGCACCCACATCAGGCCGCACACTAGCATCGCTCAAAATTTCGAGCTTAGCTACAAGCGGCGCCTTGTCCAGCACAGCTCGAGCCTTCATGTCAGGGCCGAGCCCGTGTCGGAAGCGACTGAGGACATCCACGCCTCTACGCGTTGGCATCTGGCGGGCCTCCGCGAGCTTCACGGCTCACCCTTGAGGCCAGCCCCCGCACTTTAAGCACATAACCAGCTGCCCACGGCACGAGCCCATGACCAAGCTCGACCGAGGGGTTTCCAGAGCCGTGCCCGACGCAGCGGCGAGGCTATGCCCCAGGAGTTAAGCAACAGTTTCTTTACAGCATGTGGCGAGGAGGAGGGAGAGGAGGAGGAGCTGCTGCTGCTGCTATCTGCATCGATGTCCATATCAGCTAGCATAGCTGACTACTTGCGGGCACCGCAGAGCCTGGTGTAACGCATACCAGGGGGCCTGGGACTCGAAAAGGGAACGCAAGGCCTGGTGCCGCCGCTGAGGGCGCGCATAGCGCCAGCGGTGACACCGCGGCGCGGGGGTGCTTATCGGCTCTCGCGAGCCAATTCTCTCAATCTGACTCTAGTCTCGAGGGCCTCCAGCCTGCCCCCCCCCCCCCCCCCCCCAGCGTCTGCAACTGAGGGGGCGAAGATAGGAGAGGGAAGGAAGCTCAGAGCCCTGAGGAGGACGAGGAGGAGAGGGAACATGCACTTCTGATAATCTGCCTACTCCTCCTCTCACGCTGCTGGCCTCTGCTGCGGTCCTCACTTCGCCCTGAGCCCGCACTCGAACCCGCCCTCGGGACCCTTGACTGGGAACTTCTGGAGGCCCGCCGCTCTGAGGCACATCATGCTGAGTCTGTCCACCATTGCCCACATGTGGCCGCTCTTCGTGTTCTTCTCGGAGAAATGGAACTTCAGCTGATTGAACTCTGTCTCTTGATCTTCGTTGATCCCGACGGGCCGATGGCCCACGAATTTGAACGTAGTTGTCACTCCCTGTTTCTGCTGCCTCTCGCTCGCCATGCACGTGTCGCCCCAGTCTTCGAACTCCGCTGGCACCGATGCGAGGCGGTCGGCTTTGAGCCTGGTTCTCACCGCGAAGATGCATCGCATTTCCTCGTCCATGGATGTGCCTGCGTGAAGGCGTGGATATTCGAACTCGTGTCCTGCCCCTGCTGACTTGACGCTCTCCTTGTACTTGATGGTGGACTCTTTGATGGCCAAACAGGCAGGGTGGCCCGACGGGCCTTTGAAGTGCTTGTCGCTCTTCTCCCGCTCCCTCATCCGCGCCTCCATCTGCGATAGTAGCTTCTCCTCCTGGGTGTCCGCGCAGCGCCCCGTGCCCTTGTTCTGCTTCTGGTGCCTGCCACTGACCCCCTCCTGCGCCATCCCCGAGCCCAGCCACTCCGACGTCGGGATGAATGATGTGCTGCTGAATCTGAGGTAAAACGTGATTGCTGGCAAGATGCTGATCAAGCTGCTCTGGTGCTTGAGCGACAAACAAGCACAGCGGACACTGTGTGATAGCATGGGGTTGGCGCCGGGGGGCTCGCACGCTAAAGTCAGCAATACAACGTCTGTTCAGTATCGCCGCTGCCAAGTGCCACTGGGCTGTGGCTCGATCTGCGAAATTGCTCCGGCACAAGATACAATAATTCGACAACGTGGCAATGTGTGGGATTCTGTCAGCGGCGCAAACCTTCCTCAGGATTTCCTCCGTGTCAGTTCTTCCTCTGGCACACACCCTCACGCAGTGCGCCACCATGCTCTTCTGATCCCTGATGCTTTGCTCACAGATAGGGCAGAGAGTGCCAGGCGCGCCCCCTGTCTCTGGCGCGGGGGGGCAGATGATTTCGTCGGGCCCCTGGCCTGGAGGAGGAACTGTGCGTGCTAGCTCCTTGGACCTGAGCTCTGAAACATCTATTCTGGAAAACGAGTCCCTGGCCTCCCCTTTAAACAGATTCAAAAAACTGCCTCCCAATTCTGCGAGCAAATTTGGCCCCTCCGAGGTCCCCTCGAGTGCCTCTAAATCTTGCCAAAACTGCTTTAGCCATGCATCGGCGGTGGGTAAAACAACCCCATTTGCATCTACATCTAAATTCTGCTGCTCACATTCGGCTTGTCCCACTAGTGCTGCGATAGCTTGCTCATGAGCTTGCTGATGTGCCACCATTTCTTGCAACCATTTAAGTCGTCGTATGCGTAGCTCCGTGAACGGCGCCCCAAAGTGTAGGTGCCTCTGAACCTCGATGTTGGAGGGGGCCCGTGTGCGATCTATTTGTCTCTGAGTGTATCTTCTTTGAAGCACAACCCTGGCAAACTTGAAAACGATCTGTTGTAGAGGCGCCAGACTCTGCTCTGTGATGGGGGTGCGCATGTTGAGCACGTAAGCCTCAAGGCCCGAGATGGCTGCATTGATGATCAGCCCCGCGAAGACAATCCCTTTGAACCTCATGGAGACCCGTGGAGCCGTCCAAAACTTACCCATGTTGTGCCGCCCCGTACGGAGAGCCTGCATTCGAAACTTCTTTTCAGCTGAGAACCCACTGTTAAAATGTAGACGCCCTCATAGATAACGAGCCTCGGCTAAAACCTGACCTTCAATCCGAACATGCTTTTCATGAAATTTGCGACTGAGGAGTCCTGCTTCTCTGCCTGAACCCTGGACAATGTTCATTTGCTTCTCAACGTTATGTGCTCCTCCTAGGTCCGATAATGCTGCATCAAGTATTTTGTTTTCCCACTGTGCGACTGCGGCCAAGTGCTTCGCATTCGCACCGATGAGCTTCCGCGCTACATCATCCACAAAAACAGATGTTGCAAGATCGGGCGGATCACTGTGACGTGGCGCCTGGAGTGGATCTGGCATCTTCATGTGTAGTGCCCTCTGCCATGGATCCACATTCATGTGATCAGTCAATTGCTGAATTCCCTTGCCGTATGCTTTCACGAATATTTTTGTGGCTGCGTGGTCGCCTGGTAGTACACCTGTCTGATTTGCCATGTGTCCACTGTGTACGCCGTCATCGATGATGAATGAGCTGTTGACAAGCCTCTGGTAGACCATGTCCACTCGCTCTGTTGAAACCAGTTCGTCAGCTGCTTCTTCTGCTTTCAATTTGTGTACACAATAGAACGCATTGCTGGCATCGTGTAGTCGCGAGATGTGGTGAACCCCTGCTCGGCGAAGGCGCGCAAAACCACACATCTGAACCATCATTGCATCCTCGCGTCTGCGATGGGAAATGCCACCCTGTGCCCAATAAGGAAAGCATGCCTTGGGATCCATGATGGAGCGATAGTAAGATCGTCCAAGTCCACAGACAATCATGATGGGTCTTTCCCGTGCCGTATTCTCCTTGTCATTGTATTTTGGCAATCTGCAACACTGCATCTGATGCCAAACTGCAGGTACTCGTCCCTCTTGACGTGCTGTGCGGCAGAGAGGAGGAGGAGGAGGAGGAGGAGGAGGAGGAGGAGGCGGAGGAGGAGGAGGAGGAGGAGGAGGAGGCCCTGACACCCGAACATAGGTCTGTCGGGCCGATCGCACACCACCCAACAGTCCTTGCACTGCATACCGAGTTCGGTGCCGCCACACATTCCAGATTCGGTCTTGGCGGCCTCGGCCCGAGCAGGCGAACGGGGCACGTTTCCACCGCACCTCGTGTGTGAATGGGAGGAGGCGAGCGGCAGCCACTTGAACAAAAACATTAGCACGACCTCGGCAGAGCTCCACATGCTGCAGGGAAAGCGGGGTCGGGCCGCGGATGGCCCTCGAGGGCCTTCTTGGCATTTCTCATCCAAGGCCCGACTCGCAAAACCGAAACGACGATCGTCCCCCGTCAGGCCCTCCGGGGCCTCGAGCTCCCGATGGGCCTTCACGTGGAGGGTTGACAGCAACTCTGTTCAAGCTAAGTCATGCGCGAACCTCCGAGACCCAGCACACTTCTTAGTACCCGCGAGCTGCTTCCAAAACGGGTTCTGAATTTGACAGATCACAGCTTTACAATCGAGCGCTAAAGAGGTTGGGCGATCTGCAACCTGGCCGCACCATTCTGCGGCAGCATGCTCAGCCATCGCTGGGGACTGGGGCGCCCCCCCTGGGAAGATCCCCCTTGGGAGGAGGAGGATGAGAAGCAGGAGGAGGAGGCTTTTGGAGGACGGTGAAGAGAAGGGGGAGAGGGAGGACCTCTGATGAGGACGAGCAGGAATGAGGAGGGACCAGAAGGAGGAGGCTCAGGAGGGTGGAAGACAAGGAGGGGTGAGCAGGATGGAGGGGGGGTTATGGGGGAGGAGGAGGAACAGGAGGTGGGCGTCGACGACTGAGGATTCTGAAAAGCTGCTCGATGCTGCAGGCGATCAGGCTTCTGGGGATAGGCATTTTGGCACTAGTGGCGTCCGCCGTCGATGAGGCTTCCTCATCTTCCTAAGCTCGGGGGAGCGCAGAAGTGGGGTATGGTAGGAAATATTACGGGGACCATGACCAAGTCTGAACGTGGAAACGTCGCGTCTGTCTTGGCTGCCATCCATCTTCGTCAACGTCAATTCGTGAATCATCTTCGCGAATCGGCGACGGCCCGCATGGACCATGACCAAGATCGGTGTCAACAAGACCCTGCGACATCTTGGTCATGGTCCCAATGTTTCTTCCCTCGATGGTAGGGTTAGAGGTGGGGTCAGAAGAACATTGTTTTAAAAATGCTTCCGGAAGGAAGGAGACGCGGGCATCCAACCGGACACGCTCCCCAACCCCACTTCGGGAATAACCCCCCCAAGGGTGAACAGAATTTGTTTCGCAAAGCCTTTGGGTCAGTAGCTGCAGCAGACGCTGACGCGTTCGAGCAGCCGACGGGCCGCGACAGAACTATTGACACGCGACGACAAGCTGGAGAGCAATGGGGGCAGGGCGGCCAGAGACAACCCCTTCGGCAAAACACCGCTTCAATGAAAACGACCCGGGACCAGCCCCAGCGGGCGCAAGCCCGCAGAGATGCAGGCGCAGCACCTCAGCGAGAACCGACAGAAAACATGTTTTCGCCCATCGACCCGGTAGGGTGGGGCCCCCCTCGGCCCCAGACTCCCTCCGCCTCTGCAGGTGATCCCTCGAAATCAAATCGAATCGGAGGAGCCGAAATTCGGCGGTGGACAAACCTCCTTTTAGTAAACCACCCTTCAGTGATAACGGCCTGGGACCAAAATCGTTGGGCCTGGATCCGAAAAAATAACGGCCGCGACGCCCTCTCGCGAACCAAACACGGCCAATACACTAATCGACGTGTCAGGGTAGGAGGTCGATCAATCTCCGAAGGCTGAGCCCTGCCTCTGCGACCCCCCGATCGGCGCCCCCCCCCCGACGCCACTCACATGATGGGCCTGTTCTCCACCACCACCATAAGTTGGAGGAGGAGGAGAAGGACCCCCTCAGCCGCCCGCGCGGAGGTGGGCGCTCCACGAGCGGCGGCGGCCTCCGAGGGCGCGCCTGGGGCGGGGGGCGCCTCAGCTGTCCCCGCGCAGGGCCTTGACCTTCTCCAGCTGGTCGGCGCTCAGGTTTCTGGGCACCTCCACCTGCGGCGCGAGGACTGGGCGCCCAGGGATGGGGAGGAGGGGGAGGGGGAGGGGGAGGGGGAGGAGGAGGAGGGGGAGGAGGAGGAGGAGGAGGAGGAGGAGGAGGAGGAGGAGGAGGAGGAGGAGGAGGAGGAGGAGGAGGAGGAGGAGCCGTAGCCATTTTGGCTCAAGGGGCCTGCTCCTGGACTTCCCAACCTCGCTCAAGCGCGGCCAGCAGTGACGGCCATTTCGGCCACGGACCCAGTGCCGCGCAACCGCCCATGGCGAACTGGAGCTCGCAGCGTGGCAGCAGACAGCAGCAGCGAGATGGCCGACGCGGAGGTTGGACCTCGGACTGGAGGAACTGGTCCAAGGACAAGAACGGTGAATGGAAGAAGCAGGAGCAGAATAAACAGTATGTTGTGTGTGACACGTGTGGTAAATGGAAATGGATCAGTCGTGCGTACAAGGACCCGCTGTGCAAGTGCGGGGCCATGCTACTCTCCAATATGCCGAAGAATGAGGAGCCCACTGAGGATGACCCGCAGCTCATGCGTATCGTCCAGGGGCTACAGGGGCTTCTCGGGGGACCGCAATTTGAGGTTTTCAAGAAGCAGTACATTGCCGCCGCTGACGGAGGCGAGGATGAGGATGAGGAGACGGGTATCGACCGAGAGACCCAGTTGTCGCAGCAAGTCAGCCTCGCCAAGCGGTCAGCGCAGAGAGCCACAGCATACAAGGATGAATGTCAGAAACGAGTCGAACAGCTACGTGAAGAGCTGGAGCAAACAGAAGAGTCTCTCGCAGTCGCGGCTCAAGAAGCAGCTGCCAAGGAGACGGCCGCCGCCAAGTCCAGAGAGTGGGCGGCCATGGTTCGCCCAGAGGGAGGGGCAGGGGGGCCCGTCCCCACGCCCCCAGTCGCGGGTGCAGCGGCCATGGGCGAAGCCGAGCAGCGCATCTTCGCCCAGTTCCTCGCCGCCAACCCCGCCATCGCGGGGCACCTCGGCATCCAGCTGCCAGGCGGGGCCGCAGGGGGAGCCCCCGCGCCGGCCGCCGCCGCCGAGGCCCCAGGCGCTCCAGCCCCAGGCGGCTTGGCGCCACCAGGGCCCGCGGCGGCAGGCGTGGCGCCCGCCCCAGGCACAGTGGCGAGGGCTGCCCGCCAGGCAGCCATGGGAGCAGGCGCCAGCGGGGGCCCCAGCGGCGGGCGGGCCCAGGGCGGGCGTGGCAGGCGTGCAGCCACGTCGCAGCCCCCAGAGCGGCGCAGCACCAGCCCGCGGCGTGAGAACACCGTGCAGATCGACGGCGATGAAGCTGAAGTTCCTCCTGCTCGTGATGGCCATGCTTTTCGTGAGCAATAGTGAGGCAGCCATCGCCGACTACCCGTACATAGATTACGCAGCCAATTTTGGCTACCCGTCCTTCTCTCAGGCTAAGGGAAACGCAAGTGGGAAGGGAGGGCCACTAGCAATCTACGCCGCCAATATCACTACATGGAATAATACCGCTAAGAAGTATAGCATGGACTCCCGTTTTACAGCAGACGTGTGTGTTTTGACAGAGACACACCTCACACTAGACCGACATGGGGATGTTCGGAGAAAGTTTCAGAAGAGTGGCTGGAAGACATATGTCTGCCCTGCCACATCCACGGCTCAGGGAAGCCAAGGCGGGATCCTTCTTGGGGTTCGATATCACCTCTCTTCCCACGCTCGGGTCATGGGAGCCAAGGGCCACATCAAGCCTCTTGCAATAGGGACCCGATGGACCAGTTGTATTATCAAACTCGATGGGGTGAATTTCTTGGTTGTTGCCGTATATCTGATTTCAGGGGTTGGGATGAACCAAGCAAATCGTGATATCGTCATGGCATTCACCACCCACATCCGCACGCAGAAGCTCCCCTACCTCATCGCGGGGGACTGGAATGTTGTTCCTGAGGATTTGGAGAAACCCATGAAGTGGCTTTCCTGGGTACGTGGGGTCGTGGTTACCCCAGAAAATACGACGTGGACGTGCTCGAATGGGCATCGCATGCTGGGCTATGTTGTGGTCGACCAGCGTCTTGCCCTCGACACTTCTCTCACGGCTGTCCTGGAGGGCCCGTGGAGACCGCATCAAGGCATGGCAGGAGTTCTGGCACGTGCAGTCGCTCAGAAGGGGATTTTGGCATGCAGTCGAGCCTTCCCTCTCCCGAAAGAATACTCTGGAGTCAAGCACTCGTGGGAATACTATTACGAGAGGGCGGAGGAGGAGGAGGAGAGCATGAACCTCACACCCACCTACCCCGCTTGTGCCCAGCATGTCAGCAAGCAGCTTACCCGAGAGTATGCCATCCTGAGCCGAGCCCTGGAGCTGCAGGAAACCCACAACAAGGTGGGATCCCAGTCCGCCCCGCAGCGAGGCCAGTGTGCGCAACTGCTCAGGCGTCCTCTGCTACCGCCAGCGCCCCAGACGGGGCTGGCCACAAGCGGCGCAAACAGGTGGCAGGTGATCGCCGCACGCGTGCAGGATCGTGATCATTTCCTGCGACGCCCTGGGCCCCATGCGCAAGTTTTTTGCATTGCAGGCGCTTTTGAACGAAATTATTCCCGATCTTAGATGGCCAGAGTATGTCGGCCCCGAGATTAAACATGTCATTCTCGAGTATTTCACAGGCCAGTTCTCGGACCTAGAGGTTTTCGAGGCCAATTTCCAGATTGGGGCAGGGCAGACTTTGGGGGATTATCTTGAGCAGATATCTCAACATTTCCAGAAGAAAGAAACCCAGGCGTCTCGGAAGGCCTTCCAGGAGTGGATCGAGGAGGACCTTAAAAAAGGAGGTCAGATATCACATGCCATCACCAAGGGAACCCCTCCCCCTCCTGAAGAACAAGATGTGGCACCTCTAAGTGGGACCCTTACCGATGACCCCATCCTTAGCATGCAGCATAAGCTCACCTATTGGGAGACATACTGGAGCCCAAATGGACCCCGCCAGCGCCCCGAAGATCCTCCCTGGCTTCAAGAACTCCGAAGAGTTGCCCAACAGCGTGCTGCCCAGGGGCCAGATTGGACAGAAGCCGAAGTGTTTGAAGTTGTTCGGAGGTACATCCCGAGCTCAGCAGGAGGTGCTGACCTGTGGCACCCGCGCGAGCTCGACGCCCTGCCGCCCGAGGGCAAGACTGCCTTCACCGACCTGGTCAATCAGGTTCGGACGACCTTTAAGTATCCCGCGCAGATGCTACTCAATATGGTCCGTCTCCTCCCTAAGAGTATCGAAGCCGATCGGCCCATCAAACAGCTTCTATCGTATCCTAGTCAAGTTGCACCGCCCAGGCCTCACCGCGTGGGATTCAAAAAAAACAGGTTTTTGGGATGAGGCCATCCGAGGATCATCGTGCTTCCGAGCAGCTCTTTTGAGTGAAGTGACAGCGGTGCTGGTCACCAGTTTGCAGATACCGCTCGCAGAGGCATTGATTGACATCGAAAATTGTTCGACACTATTTGTACGGAGTATGTCTGCGGGGTGGCCATCAGCCTTGAGTATCCCACCATCCCGCTCATGCACGTCATGATTGTTCATCAGGCGGCCAGATTTCTGTCCTCTGCCTCGCTAGGATGCTCGTCACCCACGTGCCCGACCGACAGCGTCCTGCAAGGCTGCACCCAGTCAACATCTCTCGCCCGAGCCTTTCTGTTTAACATCTTGGAAGATTTACACTACCAGTTTCCACGAATTCGTTTTCGTACCTGGGTTGACGACCTGAGGTTGCGAGTTTTGGGCTCGTCTAAGGAGATCTTGGAGGTGGTGCCAGAGGCAATGGCGTTCCTGGGTAAGAAGCTCGAGGCCCATGGTTGCAAGCTGTCTCCTAAATCGCGTGTTCTCGCGTCGGTGTCCGGGCTGAGCGTCAAGATAAGCGAGCGCACCAAGGAGTTGGGGTGGGCCGTCAAAACCAGAGTCCAGGGGAGGGACCTCGGCCTGGACACTACCTTGGGGCTACGGAGGCGCTTGAAGATCCGGCAGGAACGTTTCAGAAAGGGGCTCCAGAAGCTCAACGGGATCACCAACCTCACCAGGACCACCAAGAGGAGTCGGAGGCTGGTCAATACGGGGGCCCGTCCACAGATCTTCTGGGGCCAACAGGGGCAAGGTATTGCGCCGACAGTACTCAAGCAAATTCGGGGACGACTAGTCCGAGGGCTCGGATATGTTCCCAAGTATGGTTGCACGACGGCAGGCTTTGCTTTGTCAGCACGGGGGCAGCAGCAGGAGGATCCTGCGCACTACCTCCCCATGCAAGTCGTCAAGGCCTGGTTCGACATGGTCAACCAGAATCCAGAGTTGCACAAAGCACTAGGGAAAAAAGGTGGTTTCCTACAGTGGCACGTCAGGCAAGTAAGACCCGATGGAGTAAGGTTACCTCCCTCTTCTCCGCGCTCATTGCCACCCTTCATGACCTAGGATTGTACATGGTGGGGCCCTGGGGATGGATCCTTCCTGACAATCAGCGGTATAAACTCGTTCCTGGAGACCTCAGAGCCCAGACGGCCTTCCTGGACGACTTCAGTGAATATGCGTCTCGGGTTCTCCGGGAAAGGGCCTCGCATTTCCATCTTGGAGGGGGGGCCGAGTTCGGGATCGACGCGTTCCAGTTTCTGAAGACCTATCGGAAGCTTCGGACGGATAACCAGCCCATTCGAGCCAAAGCCCTTGAAGCCCTCGGGAAGGCCTCGATCTGGACCAACGCCCGAGTACACGTATGTAAACCAAGCCAGTCAGCGCGATGTGCCAGGTGTGGAGCACCAGTGGAGGACGACCTTCACCGCCTTTGGACATGCCCAGCGCACGTGCGCAGTACCGATGAAGCAGTCCTCGACTCCCAGTACCTCATCCAGAAGGCTATTGATGAGTTTCCATCCTATCCAGTTAAATGGGGACGAAGACTGCAGCCAGCTGATTTTACGACAGGACGCCTGGACCAACACCCTCCCAGAGCCACCCTCGGAGCCACGGGGACCTTCATGATCCAAGGGGGCCCCATCAAGGGCAAGTTTTTGGTGGGAACCGACGCTGGAGGAGGAAGGTTTCCGAATGATCCGAGGCTGAGGAGAGTTGGCTGGGGGGTAGCAGTTAAAGATTCCGACCTCGAGACCATAGGAATTTTGAGAGGAGGCCTGCCAGGAAGACAGACGTTCAACCGCGGAGAGCTCTACGCGGTGGTCAAGGCCGTCCAGAATCTAGCAGGGGAGATTACCATCGTGACAGACTCAGCATATGTATATCGTGGAGTCCTTCGAGGGCCCCTCTGGCGGCATAAATGTTACGTAGACCTATGGGAGGAGTTCTGGGAGGCCCACCAGAGCTTCGACGGGACCATGGAGTTCCACACGACCAAGTCTCACCCCACGGAGAGTGATTTCTGGGATTATAACATCCAGCCCTGGGCATACCTGGCGAACCAGTTAGCAGATCAGGTTGCAACATTTGCAGCAGCACGAGTCCAACTTCTTGATTGGGTGACCCGCCCCGTCCTAGAAGCAGATCGTGAGATAGAGCTCATCCAGAATCGAATCGCCGCTGTTCAGGAGTTTTTCTGGGGAGTTTTTCCTGCCCCGCCACCCGCTCCCAAGAAGCGTGGGCGGGTTAAGGTCCCAAAGAAGTGGGGCCATGCCCAGCATGTTTTAGAAGACGTCCCCGAGGGCCTCAGGTGCAAAATCTGCTTCAGGTACCAGATTCGGGGGACCAAGGAGTCCTGGCTCGGATCCCCATGCACCCCGAATCACGCCCAGTGGTTTCACGCGACACACCTCCCGCACCTCCACGTCATCCGTGGGGTCGCATTTTGCAGCAGGTGTGGGGGGGGTGTCGTCGACTCGGGCCTTTAAGCTGAAGGAACCTTGCCTCCACCCCACAAGCACGGGGAAGAAGGCGAGGTCACGACTCTTGCGAGGACTGCTGCCGCAAGGACTGCAGCAGTGGCCAAGCACCCTCGCCGCGAAGTCGCAGGAGGACTGCGCGCGGGCGTTGGGGGTGCCAGGCCACAGGATCTCACCATGAGGTCCTGAGCGGGCCCGAGGAGTGCTCGGACTCCCCTTTGAAGCATGCAGCATGCAACATGGAGGAGGAGGAGGAGGAGGAGGAGGAGGAGGAGGAGGAGGAGGAGGAGGAGGAAGGGAAGAGGGAGGAGGAGGGGAGGAGGGGAAGGAGAAGGGAGAGGCCACAGGCCCCGGGCCTCCAAAGAATCGCTCGGAGCGCACCCCCCACCAGGGGGGAACTCCTTGTCCCCCAGGACGGGGGGCGACCCGGCTCACGAGTGGCCAAACTCCGAATTACAGTCGGGGCGTTGACTCAGGGAGCCCTGAGTATGGAAGCTGGGTGCAGCGACTAGATTAAGTGTGAGCGGTCCTGGGGCGGAAAGCGCAGTGCCTTTTTGCACTATGTCTATAGTCCCGCGCGCACTACGCGCGCTTGGGACCTAGTAATCTCCGAAGACTTCACATTCCTCCTCCTCCTCCTCATCGGCTATATCGCTATCCATCCTGCACCAGGCAGGCGCAATCGCGGTGTCGTCGCCGCCGTCGTCATGGCCGCGGGCGGGGGAAGAGGAGGGACGGAGAGAAACACAGGGGAGGGGGGAGATAGGTAGGAAAGAACGCAAACCAGCCCAGCAAGAGAGGCACAAGGGGAAATGACGGGAAATGGACAGAAAGATGGGTGAATACGGATTCCTACGCCTTCCTATTCCTTCCGCTGGTTGATGTTTCTTCTCCCCTTCCTCCTCCTCCTCCTCCTCCTCCTCCTCCTCCTCCTCCTCTTCACCCGCGTTATCCTCACTTGCGTGCTCTGCCTCCGCGCTCCTCTTATCCTCCTCGCCTTCCTCTTCCTCTGTCTGCTGGCGGCGACAATCATGTTCCCGGCAAGCTTCCCGGGAACATGATTGTTCCCGCCAGTCGTCCCAAATGAGGCTGCACAAACTTGCAGGACGGCCCAATGGAAACATTCGAAAAGCCTTGCGAGGGGGGGGAATTGGAAAAGGAACAGGTGTAAGGTAACAAAACAATCACGGCTGGAGCTGGCAAAGCTAAGTGGGGGAAAGTGAGAAAGAACGGGGGGGGGTTTTACGACGCAAGCCGGAATGGGTTTCGGTCCACACCGGGCCGTGGATCTTGGGCCGGAAGCCGGTAGGATGTTCGGTGGGATGTTGACCGAATCCGCGCGGGGGCCTCTTGGGGGGCGTGGGTCGGCATCCTCAATGTCGTCTGTTGCCTCTGTTTGCCGTTTTCCTGTCCTCCTCCTCCTCCTCGTCGGTATCCTCGTCGGGCTGGTGGCGACAATCGTGGCAAAGCCCTTGCCTTTATGCCCCTGCAGCTCGGTGGCTGGGAACAGAGTTTCTTTCAAAGCCCAACCCCCGCCTGAATTGTGGGCGGGGCGCTTCGCGCAATGACGAACAGCACCTGCAGAGACTCGCGAAGATGCATCTGGGCTCACCCTGGTCACCTGGAAGACCGGTCCCCAGACCTGTCCAGGCGTGCGCCCTCACCGCAAACCCAGGGGAGCACGGCCGTGGCGACGAGGAGCCTCCCCTGGAGGCCCGAGAGGGGCGAACCTCGAGGAACAAAACACACACCATGCACACAGTTCTCGGAGGTGCGGGCGGATGACGGGCAGCGCGCCCAGGCTCGAAGAGTCGCGCGCGGAGGAGCAGGAGGAGGAGGAGGAGGAGGAGGAGGAGGAGGCAAGGAGGGGGAAATGCTCCAGGTACCCCTACGACTGCGACGGCGTGTGGGCGGGGCCCCCGGAGACGGGGAGAGGGGCAGGCGTCCGCAGCCTTGAGTTTTAAGTCGGGCCTGTCCCCCTACAGGAGGACAACCCCAAAATAGTCAGAAAACTGTGTGGGGGGACGACGTTTCGCCTACTTTTGATGTTTGTTGAACTGGGGGGGTCTCAGGGGGGAAGGGCTCGGGGTTGCTCCCGCGCCCCATTCTCCAGGGCCGCCGCCCGGGCCCTCCACCGCCTCACTCTCCAGGGCCGCCGCCGCCGAGTCCAGCCCGCCGCGGCGGCTGCGCGCTCCAGTGCGTCCATCCTGATCCTTCTCCACCTCCTCCTCCTCCGCCTCCTCCTCCTCCGCCAACTTCTCCTCCTCCTCCTCCTCCTCCTCCTCCTCCTCCTCCTCCTCTTGCTCCTGCTCCTCCTCTTGCTCCTGCTCCTGCTCTTGCTCCTGCTTCCCACCGTAGAACCCCCCCAGAAGGCACACACACACAAACCTCGACGCGGTGGTCCCCTCCTTCTCTTTCCCCCGCTCGTCGCTCTCCTTCTGAAGCGGGGGACGGCGCGGGTTCCACGCCTGTACCTGAACGTAGTGGTCGCCGCGGTCGGTCTTGCCAAGCTTTGGCACGCCCCGGCCCTTCAGCCGCATCTGGGTGCCCGGCTGAATGCCCGGCGGAACCTCCGTCCGGGCGCCAGGCAGGCCAGTGTAGGAGTCAGGGTGATTCGTCCTCCTCCTCCCCCTCCTCCTCCCCCTCCTCCTCCTCCTCCTCCTCCTCCTCCTTCTCCTCCCCCTCCCCCTCCTCCTCCTCCTCATCTGCCTCCTCACTCGCATCCCGAAGGGGACCGCTCTACTCCTCCCCTGCCTCCCCCGGGAAAAGAGCGAGCCAGCGCACGAGGAGGGCGGGCGAGGCCCAGCCGCGCGACAGGGCTTCGCAGGTCCTCCCGCTGCCCTCCCTCGCGGGACAGCCAACCAGGATAGTAAGGGTGCGCGATGGGGATGCAAGGGCCTTGGGCGCCCCTCCCGAAGCGTTCGGAGCGGGGCGCGGAAAAAACGAAAGTGGCCGAGGATGGACCGAGGACGCAAGGATGCAACGGTGCCCTTGGGAGGGTTGCCCATCCTTACTCCAGATTTCGTAATAAAGGGAGGGGGGTCTCATTTCGGGGGGGGGTCTCTTCCAGGCTATCTTGGAGGGCCTGGGGGGGTCTGGGGACGATGTTTTGGAGGGTTCTCCCACGGGGGAGGTCTGAAATAACTTGTCTTGGAGGGTCCAGACCCCCTCCCTTTTATCACGACATCTGGGGTACCCTTGGGAGGGTTGCCCATCCTGGCCATGCGGGTTGACGGAAACATTGCGAAGAGCCACCACCACCACCACCACCACCACCACTACGAGGGCCCTTTTTGAGGGCCCTCCCAGTGTAGTGGTCCCCCCGTTCTGCGGCGTCTCGCTGGGGACGCCCCCTCGCTGGTCGCTGGAGGTGGCCCCTGGTGGTTGTGGAGTGGCTGGGCCTCCTCGCTGGAGGGGGCCCTGGTGGTCGTGGAAGCGTCCGGGGGCCTCCTCGCTGGAGGTGGCCCTGGTGGCTTCTGGTTCCGACGCTCGGTCCGCGCCGTCTGGCTTCGAGGCCCGAGGCTCGAGGATCGATGCGCTCGAACGTCTTCGGCATCCTTCGGGTCTCCACGGGGGACTTTGGTGGCGGAGGGCGTCGTCGGTCGTCGGTCGTCGGTCGTCGAACGTCGTCCGTCGTCCGTCATCCGTCGCCCTCGTCGTCGTCCTCGTCGTCGTCGTCGTCGGCGTCGTCGTCATGTTCGTCGTCGTCGTCGTCATGTTCGTCGTCGTCGTCGTCGTCGTCGTCGTCGTCGTCATGTTCGTCGTCGTCGTCGCCGTCGTCGTCGCCGTCGCCGTCGTCGTCGTCATGTTCGTCGTCGTCGTCGTCCTCCTCCTCCTCCTCTCATTCTTTCTTCTCTTGATTGCACTCGTGGGGCCCGAGAAGGGGCGGGGAGCCTGGAGGAACGCCAGTATGAGGATGTAGAGGGAGGGCCAGGTTAGGAGGAGGGCGAGTAAGTTCGAGATGGACGAGGCGGAGGATGGAAGCAGGGGGAGGATCGAGTCGGACGAGACAGACCGCCCCTAAGACGCCCAATATGATGACCCCAAGACGGCCCAGGAGGCCTCCAAGACGCCCCAAGAGGCCTCCAACAGGCCTTCCAAGAGGTCCCCCAGAGGTCCCCCTGAAGGAATTTAACGCTCTCGCCTGCTCTGATTCCCGGCGCTCCAAGACTGCCCAAGAGGCCTCCGAGAGGGCCCCAAGACGGCCTAAGAGCGCCCCAAAACGGCCCAAGTGAGATGATGAGAGTACCAGGGGTGGCAGGAGGGAGCAGCGGGGGGACAAGAAAACGAGGAAGAGAAGGAAGGATAATGGAGGAGGGGGAGGAATGAAAGAATGAATGAAATGCCCTGGCGGGGAAAGTGCACAGCACTAAATACTGAGCTCAGCTCAGAGTACTAGCCTCTCGGCGAGGCAGCTTCCTTGTCACGAATTCTCTCCACAAGAGCTGCCATCCGCACCTCATATGGAAAGGCGGCCCCTGATGCCGAAGGAATAGAAACCACCGTAGAGTCAGACACCGCGGGACTCCTGGGGACTCTCTCCGACGGCCTCTTGGGGGCCAGCCGAGCAAGGGGAACAGTGCGACCAAGGAACTCCGCACACTTGCGATTAGGAGATTTACACTGGAAAAAGCGGTTTATAACTTCCTGACCCTTCTTGGTGGGAGGCAAACAGGGACCAGCCAACTTTAAAGCACGGTCCTGGGGCCGCCCTCCACACTTTAAACACACATAGCTTTGCTTCTCAGGGATCGCGCACACGACATCGACCGAGGCAGGATTCCGAGCCAGCCCAGCCGCAACAACGAGGCGCCCCTGGAGATCCTTGAGCAGCTTGTCTATGAGAGGGGGTACACCAGTACAACCCGTGAGATCAAGCTGCGATCGGGCGTTCCCGCCTAGTCTCAAACAGCGGCTGCACTGGAATCCCGCGGCCCCGTCCTGCCAGTCATGCCAGCCGACGCGGAGCCTGCGCTGCGCGCGCCTCGGGGCGCGGGGAGGACGGGGCCACCTGAGATCGTTCTTTTATAGCGGGAGCACGGCAGTGGCAATCTTAACGAAATTGTTCGCCCTCTCGAGGGCAAGGTTGACAGAGGCAAGAAACTCAGGATCTGCACCGACATGCTGCAACATAGCTTTCTTGGCATGATGATCCACCACCGAATTGCCGACAGCAAACTCCCTCTCGCCGTCTGGCAACGCATCTATGACAGCCTGTGTGCGGCGCGCGTTCACGTGCCGAACCTCCTGGAGCCACTGCTGCCCCTCGAGGCTCTGAGCGAACATACGAATGCCAGCGAACTTCGATGAGGCAGCCAACTGGCGAGCGATGTTGCGCTGTGTCACTTTTATCGCCGACGCGCAATCCGCGCCGAGCACCGCGGGTCTATTCGCCACCTGGCCGCACAAAGCAATCGCAACGTGCTCAGCCATCGCAGGTGTCTGCGGAAAAGTGCCGTGGACTACGCCACGTAAAACAGCCACTGGCTCAGGTGCCGCCCCAACGTCAGGCAACGCTCCGATGGCCCACGCTGCTCGCTGGAGCGCACGGATGGGAGGCTTGGAACAAGATCCGTCTGACACAAGACGGAGCATCTGGTCGCTTGAAAGATCTGCAGTCTGCTCAGGATCCATGTCTAGTGGGTTCCCCAAGACATCAAACAACTCAACCTCAGACGACGTACTCGGCTTGGGCAACTCACTACCTGGATACACAAATAGCCCGCGGGTAAAAACCTCGAGATCAGGATATTCGAGCGCTGCCTGAATATGCTCTGGCGTGGCGCCCGACTCGTCTCGAGCTACTTCCACATCCTCACGCATGCACGTGTAGAGCCTGTGGTGGAGTGTGTCGACCTGTCCGCACTCACAGCGACCGTCCGTAGCGTAACCCGCCAAACGACCTCTCCCGTTGGTCCACACTCCATAGCACCCACAGCATTTCACTAAAAACTTGGCGTGTCTACCCAAACCCTTAGCTTTTGACCCCCAAGCGGTCCCTCATGAGATCCAAGGTGGCCCTGTGCCCAGGGGTGCGGCCTAATTTAGCTGCTAGGGTCAGTTCACGCTGGCGCTGAATACTAATCTCTAGCATCTCAGCTAACAGAGCAGGAGGGGTCTGATCTATCTTCACCGCGAAACCATTGTGATCATTCCACTCCAAAGGTCCTAGCACCTCCCACCCAGCTCTCTGGAGCACTAGCACCGCGCGACGGACAGGGCCGCGAGAGGAGCTCCAGGGACCACCCTGCAGAGGCTGGGCCGAGTCCCAGAGCCTAATAAGCTCACTCTTACTGACTAGTGCTCGCTCGGGCTGGGTGGAGGCTGTCCAAATCATCCTACACCAATGGATCGCAGGGGCCACCGCGAGACGAGAGCTCTTGCCCCCAAGAAGCACCAGCTTCGCAATTAAAGAAACCCCGCCGTGACAGGGGGCGTCAGCGCTACAAATCATTCGCTGGTGGGACCCCCACTCGGCCTGACTAAGGCCTGAAACCTCGGCGCCAAAACTGCTAGCTGGGGCAACTCCAGCGCGGCAAATCTTGGAAAATGGGGCATCTTTCCGACCTTAAACCGTTTCTTGTAAAACTTGACTTTCCTCAGTCTCCATCTCATTCCAGAAAGGCGTCGGGCTTGCTTGGCTCTCACCCCTACTGCACCGCGCCTGGCTCCTGCAGCCTCGTCGACGCCGAGGTAGGAGACGCTCTGCTTGAGTATGGAGTGCGGCATATCTAGCGCGTCGAGCACCGCGTGGCCGAGCTTCGGGGTGGACGCCAGCAAGCCGATCTGCACATCATTCAAACCAGCCGAGAGCTTCCCATAAGTACGTCGGAACTCAACCATAGCGTGCACATATACCTTCACTGCAATCTCCTCATATTTGGCACCATTGCTGAGAGCCGTGCCATCGATGTAGTTCAGAAAGTCTATCGCAGGGCATCTGGATATGTACTCATCGAACTCTTCGTATGCGTGCACCTTGATCGCCAAATCGTTGTAGCCGTCGCCCGCAGGCAGGCCACACACAGCAAATAAAGGTGTGACAGAATGATGTTTGCCCAAGCGAATGACACGCGGTGACCTCCACGTGTTATATACCAGCTTGAGCCAGCATACAGGCACTCCGACTTTCAGAAACTTCATACGCAGCAGATCCAACGGTATGGACTCGTAGTACTTGGACCAATCTATGACCCACATGAGGTGATGACGATTGCTGTGATGATCGCTCTCAGCTCGTGCCGCCTGCAGCCAAGCACAGTCAAGTGCCGAACGTCCTTTCGCTGCACCCCAATTTCTACGAGAAAGCTGCTGACTGATGCCTGATACCATCCATCTGCGAGCGCGCTGCCAGATACGGTGCACTCCAACATGCAGTATAATCAAACGGTTGCCTCCTGACGGCTTGCCCAACATCGGCATCTGTATCCAACATAACTGCTTTGGGAGAAGCCCTATAGCCTCAGAGCGTTGAAAAATCAAACTAAGCACTTCCAAAGCATTGTCGTCTAACATGAGCGCATGCCGAGGGTGGAAATGACCGAAGCTAGCTGACGTTCCTGTCGGGGAA